AACAAGAAAGTGGTTATTGCTCCTTTATTGATTCCTTTTTGAAAAGAACATATTTTAGTTGGGGGCGGATGTAGCCAAGTGGATTAAGGCGGTGGATTGTGAATCCACTATGCGCGGGTTCAATTCCCGTCGTTCGCCCATCACTCTAATTTCCGTTTCGATAAATTCTATAAATGGGTAAAAGATATGAGTGAAAGTAAATAACATGCCGCTATGGTGAAATTGGTAGACACGCTGCTCTTAGGAAGCAGTGCTAGCGCATCTCGGTTCGAGTCCGAGTAGCGGCATAAAAAATAAGAGTAATCTTTTGTTCTTTTTCATTTTTTTTCTTATCTAATTCAGAGTTAAAATCTTATTTTATTTTTTTTAATAATTTTTATGATAGTTTCAACCTTAGAACATATACTAAGTAATATTTCACTTTCAATAATACTCGTTTCAATTTTAATTAAAATTTATTTGAGAATCTTTTTCGTCGATGAAAACATAAAACTTTCTAATTCATCAGAAAAGTGCATTTTCATAACTTTTTTATGTATAACAGGATTATTAGCTACTCATTGGATTTCGTCAGGCCATTTCCCACTAAGTGATTTATCGGAATCTTTGCTTTTTCTTTCCTGGAGTTTTGCTCTTATTAATAGCCTTTCCTATTTAAAAAAAAATACAAAATTATTAAGTACAATAATAAGCCCAATTGATTTTTCTATCCAGGCTTTTGCTACTTCGGGTCTTTTCACAGAAATTAAGAAATATTCAATATTAGTCCCCGCTCTTCAATCTCAGTGGTTAATAATGCACGTAAGTATGATGATAGTGGGTTACGCAGCTCTTATATGTGGCTCCTTATTATCAGTAGCACTTATGGTCATTACCTTTAGAAAAAATGAAAATATTTTTCAAATGAATTATATTTTTTCGGCTAACAATTTTTATAAGATTCAATTAAGTAAAGAATTAGATTATTGGAGTTATCGAGTTATTAGTTTAGGGTTTATCTTTTTAACCATAGGAATACTTTCGGGGGCTTTGTGGGCGAACGAAGCGTGGGGATCTTATTGGAGTTGGGATCCAAAAGAGACTTGGGCTTTTATTACTTGGATAGTGTTTTCAATTTATTTACATACTCGAAGAAATAGAACTTTTGAAGGTGCTACTTCGGCAATTGTGGCATCTATAGGTTTTCTTATTATTTGGATATGCTATTTTGGAGTCAATTTAATTGGATTAGGTCTACATACTTATGGTTCATTTTCGCGAACATAAAAAAGATTTTATTCTTTAATATTTGAATCTTTGGAATAAATAAAAAAAAAAGACATTAATTTTTTACTTCGTGAAAAGCTAAAAATTTATGAAACCCGTGCTACAAAATATGAAATATTTTTATTTTAGAGCACGGGTTTTCAATAAAAATAGAATGAATTCAAATATACTTTTCTGGACCAGATCAATAAGCGAGACCCATACTGCGAGTTGTTTCATGCCATAAATAAACTCGAACACTCAAGAAATCTGTTGGGCAAGCGGATTCACACCTCTTACAGCCTACGCAATCTTCTGTTCTCGGAGCAGAAGCAATTTGTTTAGCCTTACATCCGTCCCATGGTATCATTTCTAAAACATCGGTGGGGCAGGCTCGAACACATTGAGTACATCCTATACATGTATCATAAATCTTTACAGAATGTGCCATTGAACGAATAAATTTATAAATTTTATGAATTATCGATATAGTATCCTCCAAATATTATTTTTATGCAATATAAAATTAGAAGATACTTGGTTTTTAGATACTATATGACTCAATGAATTTTCAGAAGAATTCTAATCACTAGATTTCTGGATTGGTTTTAAAAATAAAAAAAAAATTATTTTATGTTTTTTGGTAAATTATTATCAATTTTTATGTTTTAATATTATCATTTTTTTTATAACTACGCAAACTACCTAATAGGGTAAAAAAGGATTCTTTTTTGAATTAACTAAATCTGCCGTTTTAAAGTTTTAAATAAAAAATCCCTTCAAATTTATACAGTAAGAATCAATAGACAAAAGGACATGATGTCTTTCTATTCACTACCCTGAGCTATTCTTTTGTAATTGTTTCAGTACCCAGACTGTAGTTCTAAAATTTACGTATAAAATAGGTTCTAAAAGCTATACAACTTCAAAATGAATGAGTTTTTGTCTCTCTAATCTCCAATTTATCAATTAATTCTTTATAGCGCAATGTATTTTTTTTTGATAAATAAGCTAAAAGTCGTTGTCGTTTCCCCAAAATTTTACGTAAACCTTTTTGAGATAAATAGTCTTTTTTATGCAATTTCAAGTGGGAAGTAAGCCGGTGTATTCTATTGGTGAAATTCCATATTTGAAATTCAACGGAACCTCTGTTTTGTTGGTTTTGGTTTTTATAAATAGTCGAAAGAGATAAGTTTTTTATCATAAACTAAATGAACTCCCTTCATTGATATATAATATGCATTTAAAATAATTTTTTATAATTAAGTTATAGATTTATTTCATAGATATGAAATAATTGATTAGTAACTAAAACGAACTAACGAAAAATAAAGAAAGAAAATGATAAGAAAAAAGAAGAAATATTATACAAGAAATCAACTTGACAGAAATGAATCCAATGTTTTTTTATTTTTTTTGTAAAAAAAACTTGTAAACTTACCCGTTAAAAGAGATTTTGCTAATGAAAGAGCTTTTAATCTTACCTCAATAGTCTTTCTTTTCCAAATGTTCTTACGAATACGCTTTTTGGCTTTCGAAATACGTTTTTTTGGAACTGCCATTTAAAATGATTTACAGGTTATCACTGGATGTGAAAGACATTTATTGCTAAAAAAGAATTCTTCTAACTAAGTCTATCAATTCAAATCAAAAGAAAACCCTCTCTTTTCGGGTTCATTAATAAAATAAAAGTGAATTATTTCAACTTAATATTCTTTGGATGAGGGAGAAAGTATCTATATAGATCTAAATAAATATATGGTATCCTCGATTCAGTTAGATACAAATTAAAATAAGGTATATTTCCATTCATTGCTTTTCATCTAACCTGGTACCATCTACCCTGCTAGAGGGTAGATAGTACTACTATCAATTAAATTTCCACCAATTAAATTTCAATGGTAAATACATATGGATCCTTAACATACTGAAACGACTCCCATTATTAGTATTAAACCAATAACGATTCATACAAGCTAAATCTTCCAATCGATAATTAGGCCAAAGAAAAAATTCAATCAATTTATTCGGATCCTTATGCCGAGGGTTACTTTCCTCCCAAACTTGATTTTTGTTGGAAACTAGAGAATTTGCATCCACGCCATTCCATTTGTTTGAATTGAAACAAATTAGAGTTCTTAATTCTCTACGACGCCTAGATGATAAAATATTTTCAATAAGAAGCGGATCACAATTATTGTTCTCTTCAGCGCGAATTATTCGTTGTTTTACGTATTTTTGATTAAGAATTTCTTTACTCTTATGAACCAATGAAAGAACTATGGTTTGATACATAAGAAATTCTCCGTTTGGTTTGATAGACAGCGGAAGGGGGTCAACCAAAAATCCCGTCCTTTTTAAAAATTCTGGAACACTCTCTTTTGAATCCGCAACACTCTGTTTTGAATCTCGAACATTTCTTTTTGAATTTTTTGAATCTGGAACACTCTGTTTTGAATCTGGAACACTCTGTTTTGAATCTGGAACATTTCTTTTTGAATTTTTTGAATCTTGAATACTCTCTTCCTGATTCATCTGTGGCATTAGACCCAAATTTAACTTTTCCCTTTGAATCCATGATAGCATCATTTTTTTTCGATTTAGCATTCTAAGCAAGAGACAATAGATCTGGAGATCTTGGAAAAGGCCTTGATTAAAAGTAACATCCTCATCCTCTCTAAATTGAAAAAATAAATAATTTTTCAGGAATAACTCTAGTTCTATCTCAGTTTGACTTTTCTTTTCACCTTCAGTTTCCCCTTCAGTTTCCCCCTGGGTTTCCCCTTCAGTTTCACCTTTGGTTTCACCTTCAGTTTTCCCTTTGGTTTCACCTTTGGTTTCACCTTTGGTTTCACCTTTGGTTTCACCTTTAGTTTCCCCTTTGGTTTGACCCTCGGCTTTATCTTTTTTTTTACTCTCAGTTTTACCTTTGGTTTCACCCTCAGTTTTCTTTTTATCCTTTTTATCTTTGTTTTTATTCTTAATTTTACCGATCTTTTGATTCGTCATTTCATCATTGAGATTCAAATTAGAAATAAGTGATTGGCTTGGTATAATCCATGGTTTCATTTTATATATATTAACAAACCACAGAAATTCTGGGAAGACCGAAAGTTCCTCAGCCGTTAATGGACGGTCGAGTATTGCTTCATTCAGTCCCATCCAATCCAATAAAGAATTTTTAGAATTTACTAGATTCCTTTCTTCGGTATTTGTCTGAATCAAAAGAGCAAAAGGATCTTTTTCATTTTTAAAAATTTGCTCAATTTTCACAATCTCTTCCATTCTATCAATTAATTGATAATTATAAGTGAAAATTGGAGTACTTTGAGTATTGTTATCATTACCCGTGATCCAGGACTCAATATCCGCTTTTTTATCAAGAGAAAAATTAATCTTTTTCAAATTTAAATATTTTCTCTCTAAATTTTTGTCTGTATAGGGGATATTGACCCTTTCTATTTTTTCTCTGAAACTAGTGATAGGAAGATTTTTCGTTATCGCAAACAAGTTGTTTTGTGACATCTTGTAATGATAAGAAATCGTTTCCCGTTTAGCTCCTGGAGGGGGTCCACTATTTTTTTCATACTGAATGTATTGATATGCTAAAAGATCATATTGACAGCATTTTTTAAAATTATCTTTTTTTTTTTTATTAAATACTGAGTTAGCATCCTTTTGTTTCCTGTAATTATTTAATTTTAATTTTCTACTGGAATTCCTTTTGTGTAAATCTTTTTGTTTAGACCTACGATAGCGATTCGCCCTATTTCTCCATTTTTGTTTTTGTGATCTTAAGGCAGACCAGAAATTAGGAGATAAATCGTATTGAGAATTCCCTCTTAACCAAAATTTCCATTGACTCGTTCTAGACCGCTTAAGTTCTTTTTTTATTCCTTCAGATTGAAGTATTCCTTGTTTATGAAATGAGTCTTTTATTTTTTTTTTAATAAAGAAATTCTTTTCAATCAAGAAAGATGTTCCATTTTGTTGAAGAACAGACATCAAATTAGATACGTTCAAAAAACTCCTTTGTGATATTTTGTACAATACATATGCTTGTGACAAGTTAGATAAATCACCAAAATTCTCTGGCTTTTCCTTATAACGCTTATTATTATGCGTTTTTATATTTGAAAGAGAGTTCATTTTTGTTGATTCCACAAAGAGTTTTTCAGTCATTTGGCAAATAGATATAGTATATAAAAAAATATAGTTAGATATTCTTTGAATCAATAATTTTATAAAATAATGAAATTTATATCTTAATCTATTTTTTTTTATTTTTAACATTTGACAAAAATTTTTTGACAAGGCTAATCTCGAACTTTTTTTGTAAGGGCTCATATCTAGTTCTAGAGTCAGCCTTTTCTTATCTTCCGTAATTCTTTCTAGTTTTTTTTTAATTGTATTTGTCCTATGAGTAATAGCCTGTATTTTGTCTATCGGTGAATAATTTTTCCAATCTGTAATTTTTTCAATTTTACTCAAGGGTTGATTCATTATCTGGTTATTTATTTGATCATCTTTTTCTTTTTTTATTAAACTCGGGTGTATTGTTCTTTTTTCGTTTGAACTTGTTTTTTTTTTTTGAAAACTTTTTTAAAAATTTGATTTTTACTTTTACAAATTTGTAAAGTTCCTTAAAAACAGGCTCGAAAAACGAAGGTGTTTGTCGTGGATGACCAAAAGGGTGTTCTGTTTCCCTTCCCCAAACTGTTAAAAAACAAAAGTCATCACGAGAAGTTAGTGATTTATATTCGTGCCAAGGTTTTAGACAGAAAGGAAATAAAATTTTGATTTGAATACCTTCTGTCAACCAATTTTCCGGAAATTTTTTGTCAGCTAACGGAATACCATTATAAGTACACTTCACATGCGTTTCTTTATTCCATCCCTTTAAATCTTCAGACCATTCAGGAGTTTGAAATAGTAGCATACGCCCTATATTTTTCCCGATTATGAATGAAGGTAATAGAATTTTTTTTCTCAGAATTGATTGGGTTATTAATAACAAACCTCTTATTATTTGGGTATATGGGAAAGTTTCCCAGGCTTCCCCTATCTCTAACCGTTCTATTTCCTCTCGTCGTTTCTTTTCCTTTTTGGTTTCTCTTTTTATTATTGTTTTTTTTTCCTCTGTAGACTCTAAAATACCGAACTCGTTTCTGGATGACCATTTTATAAAAAGTCGTTTCAGTTGAGCCAGGTATGGTATAGAAAAAAAGGTTTTTTTCCTCATCCTGTCAAAAAAGAGAGGGGAATGCGCATTTGCTTTAAAAAGTCCCTCAATAACTATTTTACGTCTTTGAGTTCGCATAGAGTCTTTTATTAAGCCTTGGCGAAAATCAGATTGGTGCGGATATCGTAACAAATAAAGCTTATTATCCTCATCTTCCTTTTTCTTTTTCATATTTTTATCTTTCTCATCATTGTCGGATTTTATAGCTTGAATATTTGTCTCTTTTGTATTCTTATCTTTGTTTGTAGTCTTATCTTTGAGAGTCTTAGGCTCTTCAAAAATTAATACACTTATCCCTTTTCTTGAACGAATATCATGATCATCTGGTGGATTTCTAAAATACGATATTTGTTCCAATTCAGTTATTAATTTGTATGACCATCCGGGGACTTTTTTACCAATCTCTTCTTTACCTATTTTTTCTATTGCAGAATATTTTTTATCGTCTGTCTCAATTACATTTACTAAAAATTTTGTTAGTTGTTCTGAATCCGTTAAATTGAAACTCGATGATAAAGTTGAGAACTCACCAACTTGTAATGGTTTTTTTTCCTTTTTTTCAAAAGGAGACATCAACAATAAAGCATGAAGTCTATTTAGCATAACCTTCTCTCTCAACTTTTTGATCGAAGTCTCGTTTATCAACGTTATATCTTTTTTTAGTCTTCCGCGGGAAGGCCCATTTAACAAGGGATCATACTCTTCTGGTAAGTATTCTTTTCTAGTCTCATCATTGTGTATACATAATCGCGTTTTGGTTGTTTCAATTTCTAGTATTGGGACTGATACTGGTTTGTCAAGATTTTTAATTCGATTTAACAAATCAATTTTTATAGAATTTAATTTTTGTTTGTTTCTAGAAACCCAAAAATTGTCCAATTTATTAGAAATATCTTTTTCTAATGATAAAAGGGGTATCTTTTTTTTGATTATTTGAAAAAACGTTGATAAACTTATCGGATGGGTAAAAGATATTCTATCTTTTCCATCACTTTTATGTATGTCAAAGAAAT